TCAGTGTACTGTAATCTATAAAAAAGAATGTCTGCCTGGTTTGCTGTACTGATAGTGGAGATGGAGACGGTCCATTCAGAAAAGCAGAGCTGCTGCATCAAACTTTAACTAGAACTGCAGAAAAAAAAGAACAAAACAAACATTTTATTAATGCATGTCACCATGAGAAAAGCCTACTCTGTTTGTGTCTTAGTGTATTTTGTAAGTACCTATATACATTTTCTTCAATCTTTCCCCTTCGTTTTTTCTTGTCAGTTTCTCTTTTCTTTTTTTCCTCATTGACTCATCTTTTCTGTGTTGAGTGAAGGTCAATGTCTTATTTATTTCAGTCTCTTGCCTTTCTTTTTCCCCCAAACTAAATCCAAGATTATGATCCAAAAACTTATTTTCCGTCATGGTGATTTAACTGTTTAAAAACAAATTTCCAACTTTTAAGTATTTTTGCTATTTTTGTTCTCTTTTGTTCACAGCAGCAGTTTTCTGTTAGCCATGTCTTTAAAAATGTTAATAACCTCACTGTGAATGATTGGCACATCCTTCTCGATTGCCAACAAAAGAAGGTCTGACAACCGAACCTCCTTGCATAAGCTGCGCAGTTTTGTTTTCACCAGCTTCTTACATATCTATCATATATCTATCATGGTAGTTCTGGATGAGTTCTCTTTTAAGATACATTTACCTAACACTAGAATAAATGAAATGTACATCATGCAGCAAAGGAAATTAGAAAATCAGACATATATCCATTATGGAGATAATAGGTTTTTGACGGGCGATGTGCCCCTACTGCATAAGTAATACTGAAGAATGTCCTTCTATCATTAACGACACAGGGAAGCTTTTTAGTTATCTTGCTTTGCTAGCAAAGTCATTAGCTAGCAGCTAGCTCATAGCACAAGAACAACAGCCTAATGTCTGTATGATAAAAATACTGAATCGATAGATAAGAACAGCTTTTCCTCACCTGGCTGTCTCCTCCCGTTCAGTAGTTCTTCAGAGAAAGGCGCGCCACGTCCTATACTTTCCTCCGTTTAAACCGCTACTCTTTGCTAAAGTAGAGAAATTATACAAAGTTCAAAGTTTTCCGTTGTCTGACAAGTAGCAAGCCTACTCCAGTATTTTCACCAAAAATTATGTTTTTTAATTCACAAAAAAACTGTTCTGTAATCATTACAGAACAGTTTTTTGTGAATTAAAAAACATAATTTTCAATGTAAAAGACTAAAAGCACAGAGTAAACAGTGTTTTAGATCAAACAATACTGCATCATCCATGGGGCTCATTTGGTTTCACTTACATCTCTATTCAGGTTGACATTGGAGAGGCGGTGCAGACTGAAGACATAGCCATCCGTCCGATCATGGTTGATCTTGCTTAGGGCCAAATGAGCAGCGGCCACAGTGTAATGTGGAATATTCGCTACCTTTAGCTCCGCAGTTAGCCGCCTTATCTGACTGTGCGAGAGGCAAGTGCGTCGTCACCGGCAAAAGGTCAAAGGTAACAATGTGACCGGAGGGCTTATTGTATTGTTTTTCTTGCCAAAAAAAAAAAGATAATAATAATAATTTCAGTACATGTGTCAAAAAAAAAAAAAAAAAAAAAAAAAAAAAAAAAAAAAAAAAAAAAAAAAAAAAAGGGGACCAAAAGGGCACATTGGGATCATGGAGCAAAAGGGGCAGGTGCTCAAGCCCCCTTAGCCCCCCCCTCTGCACGTGCCTGTTGCATCATACAGTTGTTGGTTTGCGAGCATGTGTGTGTGTGTGGGTGTGTATAATGTGTCCCTTCTGCAGAAACCACAGTCTGTTGGAGGGTTACATTTAACAGAAAAGAGAAACAGGGTGAAAACCTCCTTTTGACTCTAAGTACATTTTTCTCAAGCAGTTTAAGGTTTAGGTATAATGTATATGTATATATGAATGTTTAAGTATATATGTGTATATGTTTTTTTTCTTGTTGTTGAAAAGTTTTTTTGGTGACTGGACTTTTAAACTTTAAACATTAGAGCATTAACGTCTAAGTACATCTTTATCACATATAAAGACAAAATATGATTTTATGCATAACAAAATAATATCCACTTTGAAAAAGTATAATCAGGGAGGGAAGCTGTTGTTCAAAGGAAATTTTTATTTTATTCTTTATTCAGATTCCTTGTTACTCCCACAAAGCAGGTGCTAGTTTTCCTGGGGTTATAGATAAGTTATAAGGTATTTATAAATGAAGATTTATAAATCAAACTAAAATACATAATACATTTAATACATTCACACTGGAAAAAAATAAATGCAAATACAGGAGTGTCTTTTGCTAATCTGGTACCAGGTTGAGGGGGCAGCGGTCTCAGCAAAGACTCTCACCAGACACCTCCACCAGCTCTGTTGAGGGAACCCTGAGATGTTTTAGGTAATCTGAAAATGATGTGTTAGAGAGAGAGTTTTGCCTTTGTACACAGCTGTCTATTCACCACAACAGACCAGTGGAGTTTCCACATTATAACTGCTTGTCTGTAATTTTACTTCTACTGTTTAGCAAGAAAGCTTACAGTGTACATCTGTTTTAAAAGGAAATCACATCATGATTCTACCTGCTCTGTTGTGAGTGATTTGATGTTTCAGATATGCTTCTATGCAGCACTGACACACACAATTGGACAGTATTGAAGGTGACACAGCACAATGCTATGATCAACCCTTTTATTTTTATAAATATCCAGTCGTTAACTTTAGCATTTTAAATTAGTAACTGATGTCTGCATATTTTGTAACAAAGATATTATTTATATATTTGTCATTTCAGCTTGTATTGAATATTCTTCTCTAGGGGCAAATTTGCAGGAAAGTATTCCTTGGAAGCCTGGCAGCTGTCTTGGATGTTTTTTTATTAGTGAGGAATATTTCTCATTGACTCACACAACCCACTGGAAAAAACTGTCAACATAAGAACCTTACAACACTGGGCCAAGCATGTCCATACTAAAACAGAAGGAAAGCACAAAGAACAGAAAGACACCAAAGATGCACTCCAAATATGTGGATACCCAATCTGGGTGTTTGTCAAAATAGCAAGGTAATCCAAAAGACATGCAGCAGAATATAACAGTGAGAATATTAAACTGAAAAACATCGCCATCACATATGTTACTGGAGTCTCTGAAAAATTCAATAGGATTTTCTACAGACACAAAATCCCAGTACATTTCAAACCAAACAAGACCCTTAGACAGAGGCTGGTACATCCTAAGGACAAATCCCCCAAACCTAAGATGAGCAGAGTGGTGTATGCAGTTCAGAGCAATGAGGAATGCTCTGATCTTTACATTGGAAAAAAACAAACAACCTCTCCACAGACGCATGGCTCAACAAAGGAGAGCTACTTCTTACAGACAAGACTCTGCTGTTCACCTACACCTTAAAGACAAAGGACACTAGTTTGAGGACCAGAATGTTCACATTTTGGACCAAGGGTCAGGTGGTTTGAAAGGGGTGTGAAGGGAGCCATTTACGTTAAGAGAGAAAAACCAACATAAAACAGTGGAGGAGGACTTAGAATCTTAATCCTCATCGCATGCAGGTGTTCAAAACTTTGCACTTCTTAAGCCAGGCCAATAACAACCCTAACGATTTCCCATTACAGAGGCTGTTTTCGGTTCAGTTTGCATGTTTTCTAAGCCATAACAAGGCTTTTGCTAGGATATAAGCCTGTAACTCAACACTACTTCAGACATTTTGAATTGAGAAAGCTTAATGGATGGGATGTGAAAACTCTTCAACCTTGGAAAGCAAAGTCCAGGTGATTGTTTTTCTTTTTTTTTTTGAATGATTATGACCTGGATGAATGTGAATCTTCACCAGCATATTTAGGATTAAACACACTTATCACAGCTCAGGCCCTGTTTCCGATCAGCCTCCACCTTAAGGACCAAACTGTCTAAGTAGGAGAAGCAGTGCAGACATCAGCTGAATTCATGTCTCTATTGTGTTGGTAAGGGGACAGAGTGTCAACCTGTCCAGTTAAAAGGTCAGACATTGGTTAGAGTGGGCCAAGGAACCTTTTTTAATCTTTTAGATGGATCACAAGAGTACCTGAGAACAACTAAAATACTACACACAAGACAGGGCAGATGGGCTCTGTTTTTATGAAAGGTATAACTTTTCGTTATCTTACAAAACTTCGTACCTGGAATTTATCCTTATGGACTCCCTCCACCTTTACATCACACAGGTCGTGTGAAGGGAGGTCAGAGAAGTCCTCAGCAACCATTGATACCTGATGCCTGTCCAAAAGACTGTCTCTTTGTCCCTTATCACCTGGTCAATAAGGAACTCAATCCCTGCCACAGTTCACATCTCTTCTGCCCTCCTGGCATCACCAAGAGCATTCAAGTGGCCCAGTCACAGTTTTGGTGGCTTACCCTGATCTCTGACATCAAGGAATTTGTTTCAGCATGCAGACAGTACAATTAAGGCAAGACCTCTAGTCAACCCTCCCCTGGCCTGTTATGTATATTTCATGTGCCCTCTTAGCCCTGGTCCCACATTTCCAGGGACTTCATCACTAGTTTGGTTTGCATGTATCACAGAATAGTCGACAGATTCTCCAAAATAGTTCACCTGGTTCCTCTACAGAACCTTTTCTCAGCCAAAGAGATGGGTAACATTCCAGACAAGGGAGTATTCCACTTACACTGCATTCCAACAGACATTGTTTCTGACAGATGTCCCAAGTTCAGCTCTCTGCTGGGGATCTCTGTCAGCCTGTCATCTGGCTTCCAACCTCAGATGGATGGGCAGACCGGGAGGGCCAACCAAGAGGTCAGGACAAAACTCTGCCTGTTCTATGAGTCTTATCCCACTAGATGGGCACACAATTTACCAATTTACTTGTCTCTTTCAGTTCTACTCTGTTTATGGTTTCCATCTACCAGGGTTCACCCTTCAAGAGTAAGTGTCATGTTTGACTTAAGGTGCCTAACCCACATGCAGAACACTCAGAGGCAGGAGAAAAGTTAAAAGGTTTATTGAAGTGTTTGAACACAATAAATGAACAGATCCAGGGGGGAACTCGCCTAGTCACGAGTGGGTTCTGAAAAGCACACAGAATTATCAGATCCAGGACTGGTCACGAGTGGGTTCTGAAAAGCACACAGAATTATCAGATCCAGGACTGGTCACGAGTGGGTTCACTGCTGAGGGGGACAGAGGAGTTAGTGGAGGTCCAGGTAATTTGCAGGTTGAGAGTGAGCAAGGCTGTACCTGTTCTGGAGTTGAGCAGAGCAGCAGAGGGGGGGAACCTTGAGGGTCCAGAGGCTGTCGGCAGGCTGAGGGCTTGGCAGAGGCAGAGCTTAATTTGAGTGTTGGCAGATAACAGATCTGAGTTTCCTTCCAGAATCTTCTGAGAGCGGGCAGGCAGAACTTTGACGGGAATAATTCTCCAGGGTTCTTCAGAGAACGGACAGGCACATAACTGGCAGAGAAACTCTTCTGGGTTTCAGGTTTCAGGCAGGTTCAATCTAGGAAGCAGAGAAGAGAGAACAGATCAGGTTCAGGTTATCAGGGAGTCAGAGGTTCCGACAGGCTGGTTGGCTCAGGCTTGCTAACCATTACTGGCAAACACTCTGGGGCTGGAGAGAAGTCCTCTGCCTCCTTAAATACAGATCTCCTGATGAGCAGATGAGCGACAGGTGGTGCAATCAGCTCCGGCTCCAGGAGATCTCATACGCCCTCTGGTGGAGAAAGTGGACAGACCTCCAGATCCCAACAGTAAGATTAAAAAGTCCCTTCTGCCAGACTCTTAGCCCTGAGATGCCAACGACTTTTGAGAAAGGCTAGGAAGGCTATTTGTGTCAGGAATTCAGTTTATGTGGGTTGTTTCTGTGTTTCCTTTTTTCCTCCACCAGGTGGTGCCCCGTCCTCATTGGGCCTCCCTGCACACCTGCAGCTTGTTGCTTCATTACCTGTTGGGGTGCTCTTAAGCTACTGTCTGCCACTACCTCGGGGCCAGAGTGTATGCCAGTTTTGGGAAGTCATTATACAAACTGAATTTTTCGGACCTTCTCTCCCTGGAAGTATCATCTGAGCTTCAAGCTGAGTTGAGGATTTAAACTGGAGGTTTGAATCAACTTCTCCTCAAGAGATCGTTTGAGCTTGACACTGAGCAAGGGATTCATCTCCACTTTGACCCGTTCAAGTACCGCAGGAAATCTGAGTGGCTGTCAGTTTCTCCGTTCACCAAGGAACAACCGCAGACTGAGTAAACCCTGTCCGCCCACCATCAAACAAGACAATCACTGGAACATCCCACACAGACTGGATTCCATAAAGGACACCTTTTTCTGGAGAAGTGAGTCTGCAACCTATTCCTACTCTTCAAGCCAAAGAATCTAATTTCCCACTGAGCCTGAACTAACCGCAGTGTCTTCCCCTCACCTTTCAGTTCCGGTTAAGAAGTGTTCAGAGCAGCACTGGACTAATCTCACTATACTAAATAAACCTGTTAAACTCTTCCCTGGTCTCTCTGTTTGGTCTTCTGCATTTGGGTCTGATCTTTAATTAAATCATGACAATTTGTCTGTTGTCCGAGGTCCATTCAGAATCAGAATCAGAAATTTTTAATAATCCCAGAGGGAAATTACTGTTGTTACACAGTCCTGTTACAGTTTTTATATATATATATATATATATATATATATATATATATATATATATATATATATATATATATATATATATATATATATATATATATATACTATATTGCCAAAAGTATTTGCTCACCTGCCTTGACTCACATATGAGCTTAAGTGACATCCCGTTCCTAATCCATAGGGTTCAATATGACGTCGGTCCACCCTTTGCAGCTAGAACAGCTTCAACTCTTCTGGGAAGGCTGTCCACAAGGTTTAGGAGTGTGTTTATGGGAATTTTTGACCATTCTTCCAGAAGCGCATTTGTGAGGTCGCACACTGATGTTGGACGAGAAGGCCTGGCTCTCAGTCTCCGCTCTAATTCATCCCAAAGGTGTTCTATCGGGTTGAGGTCAGGACTCTGTGCAGGCCATTCAAGTTCATCCACACCAGACTCTGTCATCCATGTCTTTATGGACCTTGCTTTGTGCACTGGTGCACAGTCATGTTGGAAGAGGAAGGGGCCAGCTCCAAACTGTTCCCACAAAGTTGGGAGCATGGAATTGTCCAAAATGTCTTGGTATGCTGAAGCATTCAGAGTTCCTTTCACTGGAACTAAGGGGCCAAGCCCAGCTCCTGAAAAACAACCCCACACCATAATCCCCCCTCCACCAAACTTTACACTTGGCACAATGCAGTCAGACAAGTACCGTTCTCCTGGCAACCGCCAAACCCAGACCCGTCCATCAGATTGCCAGATGGAGAAGCGCGATTCGTCACTCCAGAGAACGCGTCTCCACTGCTCTAGAGTCCAGTGGCGGCGTGCTTTACACCACCGCATCCGACGCTTTGCATTGCACTTGGTGATGTATGGCTTGGATGCAGCTGCTCGACCATGAAACCCATTCCATGAAGCTCTCTGCGCACTGTTCTTGAGCTAATCTGAAGGCCACATGAAGTTTGGAGGTCTGTAGTGATTGACTCTGCAGAAAGTTGGCGACCTCTTCGCACTATGCGCTTCAGCATCCGCTGACCCCGCTCCGTCAGTTTACGTGGCCTACCACTTCGTGGCTGAGTTGCTGTCGTTCCCAAACACTTCCATTTTCTTATAATACAGCTGACAGTTGACTGTGGAATATTTAGGAGCGAGGAAATTTCACGACTGGATTTGTTGCACAGGTGGCATCCTATCACAGTTCCACGCTGGAATTCACTGAGCTCCTGAGAGCGACCCATTCTTTCACAAATGTTTGTAAAAACAGTCTGCATGCCTAGGTGCTTGAATTTATACACCTGTGGCCATGGAAGTGATTGGAACACCTGATTCCAATAATTTGGATGGGTGAGCAAATACTTTTGGCAATATAGTGTATATATATATACACACATCCAACAACACAAGATAATAAAGATACACAAGATAATAAAGAAAATAACATTCACAGGCAACCAATCTTTACCGCCTGCCAGCACTGCAGTACCAGGTGGAAAAAAGGTGTAGCTCTCCACACGGGACCCTCAATTACGGCTGGAGAGCCAGACTTTGGCTCCTCAGTACATTGGTCCTTTCCCTATGGTAAAGTTTACAATGAAAATCCATCCTACCTTTCACGTGTCTCAGATCAAACAGGTCAAGACTTCTCGATTAATGGATGAATGTACCATTGGGCATTAAGATAAACTGTCCATAAACTATAACCATTTGTGCAGGTTTTTCAGTCATTTGGTGATTGCTGCACTGTGAAAAAATGCAATACATTTAATGGCCAGTACTGATGAAAATGAATAGTACATTGACTTTTCTAAAAAGAAAAAAACAAAAACAAGAAATACTTCACAGAAACAGGAAGCACCGTTTTTTTTTTTACATTCTTGGCCTTTGCTCTTTTCCAATCCCCTAGTTTTTGAACATTTCCATTACTGCTTTTTCAGTATCAGTATTCGCTTTTTCTTAGTAGGAATGATCAGAGATCAGTATGACTGCTGGAAACGTTTAAAGTTTGCTGAGGTGCGATAGAGTAGATTCTGCAAATTATCTTTAGATGTGAGGGTGTGTTTGCATGGTTGTTTGTCCTGTTTGTCTCTGTGTTGCCCTGCGACAGACTGGGTACCTGACCAGGGTGTACCCCCATGTCTTGCTCATTGACAGCTAAAGATAGGAACTACCACCACTCATGACCTCAGCAGGGATAAGCATAACGGAAAATGGATGGATGGATTGTTGGGTAGAGCCGAGCCAAATAAAGCAGTTGGAAAAGGGGCTTATTGTTAGTACTGCTTTTCAGCACTAATTAAATATTAATATTTCCCACTTTGCACTTTTTTGCAAGCTTCTAAGGTGGCTAACAATTTCCATTGCTACCATGGTTAACACTTTCTAGACATGAAAAAGTGGTAAAATCTGTATACAACATTTTCTTATGAGATTTTCACCATATGTGTAGAACAATCTTGATAATGGGAGGCTTTATAATCACAAATGTCTGTCTCCCATGCCCTGGTTTATCCCATTACAGGGAAGACACTTTTGGTTTCAGATCAAGATTTGTATGGGACGGCCACACTTCACTGAGAAGCTAAGGAATGACCGCTCACTACACCAGCTTCAGGCTGGGCAAATACTAATGAGCCCAACATACATTTGCAATGCACAGATCCAGCTGTGACATTGATCATCTGGTGATTTGTTGCAGCCAGAATAGTCTAGAGCTAAACTCTCTAATAAAAGTGGAAATGCACTGCCTGTGGCAGCTAAATACTTAAATAAAGCTGAAGGCATTGGTGGTGGACTTCTACTTTACCATCATTGGGTCCATCACCCTCTGGTACACTGCTGCCATCACCAGGGATAAGGACAGGCAGCAGGACTTTATCGCTGCTTCCTTCTCTTTAGGAACTATACACCTACTGAACCAGGAGGTTAGCAGCAAATAATACAGCTAAACCCCACCACCCTAGGCACAATTTGTTTTAGACTCTCTCCCCTGTCATGAAGCTGTAGTGCTGCAGGACCAGAACCTCCTGCCATAAAAACTTCTTCCTGCTACTAGCCAAATTAACAAGGCGCCCAATTTACACTTTACTGTTAATGGAAACTAATTCAAACGAACAAAAACACAGAACGTGTCTCAGCACATGGATATACACATACTATGCATACCTTTTAGCCTGACTTCATTCCAACATGGCAGTTTTTATATTTTGCCATAGTGCCAATCAAAGGAGAAATTATCATGTTGATGTGGTTAATGTGCACATAGTTCAGCTTCACTCATTTAGAATAACTTGAACTTGACAAGTACTCAATCTTCTGTTTTTGATGCCAATCAGTGTGATAGAGAACTGTCGACCAGTCACCTGTAAGAGCACAAGGAGAGTTGTTGAAAAGCTGGAGCAAAGACTCTTACACATTTTTCTTTCTGTGTTTTGTGACAGAGATCTTATCATTTTTGAAGGACTTTTTGGTTAAAGGCATATCCTTTTTAGTCATCAAACTATATCTGGCAGGTATTTCAGCTCCTTTGAGAAAAAGAGGCCAACATCAGCAACATCAGTGTGACTTGCTTCATGAGTCTTTCTTGTATCCCTTTTGAGCATCGGGTAGAATTTGAATGTTTGAAATACTTTGAGTTTTGATTATTTCCCATAAAGAAGCCTTAATGCTTCCTCTTCCCCCAGCCAACTTAAAATCATGTCCTGTCCGAGTACCAAACCTATGCTTTATGTAATTGTTGTTGTTTTTTTTTAACCCAACGTGATTGGTATAGATTTCTCTATTGCTGACTGTAATGTATCCTCCCTTTATTAACTTTAATTCAAGAGAGGAGCCAATATAACTCATAAGCTGGACACATACATTTGTGCCCAGCTTATGTTCTAAAAATTGATAAAGATAGGTCACAAGCCCATCTATGCCTTAGGTGAAGCCAGTTGTGGGACAGTCTTAGTCTAATTAGCTTTTTTCTCTGTATTGTAGGAGTAACTTTTTTCTCTGGATTTTTCTAACAGGGAGCCGCTGCACTATTTAGCTTCATACTGTGTCACTAAGGGGCTTTGGTCCTCCATGGCTCTTTTTTAGGGTGTGTCTATGAAGGAGATGTGAGCAGCTGCATGCTGGACATTTTTCCATATATTTATTAAATTTCATAGGCTAGATGTGACAGCACCAGTTTTTGCATAATACCTTCTCAGTGGAGGCTCTCATGATGTAACCCCTTACTGACTAGTCTCTGGGAACAGTTTTATGTTTTGTTTTTTAAGTTGAAATGAAGGCTGTTCCCCCCTGAAGTCACTTACACCTGGAGGTTTATTCACTGTACTTTTACCTACAGCCATCATCTTTAAATAATACTTCTTCTTATAGTAAATGTCTCTCAGAGGGTGCTCAGACTTTAACACTGTTTAATCTAGGTTTAGCAGAGAAATTTCACCAAATTAGATTTCTGGGCTCATTTTCTGGGAGTTGTTGCCAAGATAAAGAAGATATAGAAGATTGTTGGCCCAGTGGTAAGAACAGTGCGCTTGTGCACTTAGAAGGTTGCAAGTACCCGGTTTGATCCCCACAACCTGCACTCTGGGTCAGTGAGCAAGACCCATAACCCCACATTGCTCCCCAGGCACAATGTGGTGCCATCCCACTGCTCCCCAGAAAGGTTAGGTTAAAAGCAGAGTTGAGTTTTTTCAATGTTTTTTTTTATTATTAGGAAGACAATTAAATTAATATACCATGTGTCATACCAAGTCATTGTCTATCTGATGAGGTGTGACATTATTTGTTGTCCAGCCCTTCTCTATATGAGCACCTGCTTGCTCTTACTGCTATGGTAATAGACATGCGTTCCATTTTATCAAACCCTGTGAGTTATGCAATGTTGTGATTATTTTTATCTTGACAAAAGGTATCTATGAATCATCTAATCTGGCATCAAGTGATCTATGAGATGAAATTAAACATCAGAATTTATTTATTATACTATGGGTACGAAAAACTATAGTAAATGAAGAAGTAAACATGTCATTATATTCATCAACATGGGTATTTTAGGGTTTAACATGTCTTTTGATAAATAATAAGGATTTTTTCTCGAAAAGGTGTCTCACATTATTCCTTATGAAACATGAAACAAATATAGAATGGACATTTTTCCCATATATCTACTAAATATTGTATTGACCGCATTTTTTGATTGATAAGATTGTCTCGCCAAACCAGACTCTTGTTGTGGAAGAAAGGAAGCAGTGAGATCGATTAAAATTACAACTCCCATTATGTCAGCCCCAGGCTGAGGGTCTGTGCCCCTCCTGACAGCGACCTCCAGCCATTCAGAGGAGGAGTAAAGTCGTTTCGAATTTTGAATCTGTATACTTTTGTTATTTTCTAATCAAGAACCAGGTAAAAATTTGTAGAAGTCCGTTTTTTATTCCTTTACTGCATACTGTAGCTTGTTAATAGGAAGGACAATAACAGGTGATGTGCAGATCGTCAGAATGTATCGTTGTATATCAAAATATACAAATTTAGCACAAACTGTAAAGGTAATTTCTGGTAATTCTGGACTCCATTTGTTTTTCACTAGATCAAAACAATAAACAGTCTGGCCAAAACTTTTCTTAATTTTTCTACTTTAGTCAGATAGTCTTTAAAACATTTTGAGATTTATGAAAGCTTCATTTTCAAAGGGGCTGGCTTGTGCACTTCATATAAAAAAATACACATCTGAAACCAAAACAAAAATACCAAGGCCATATGAGTACTTCTAGCAATGAGGGAAGGAGCCAAATGGAATCAGTATGCTCCATAAAGCTCGTCAGCAGAGAGGAATCATCTTTTATCACCAGATAAAATGCATTTCTTTATTTTATTGAAGTAATGAAATTAATAACCTAATTATATTCTAACTTACCGAGATGCCCTAAAAGCCCCCCCATTAAAGTTTAGACAGGATGATTTGCTTGCCAATCAAGCACAGTAACAGTATGGTGATGAAAGTAGGTATTGATATTTGTGGAAAGTTACGTAGTCCTGCTGGAAAATAAAATCAGCATCTCCATAAACGTTGTTTGTTGAAGGAAATAATATGTTCTAAAGTTCCCAAGAGACTGTTGTGCTACTTTGAACCAACCATGTGACATGGCACACTAATCATCAATGATGGTGGAAACGTTCACACGAATCTCAGTCACTTGGACTCTTTACACTGTTTATGTACACTGTTAAAATGCAAAATATCCTTTCAAATAAAACATAAAAATCACAGTTTCAGACCTTGTAAATCTGGTTCAGAGTCTTGCATTAATTTATTTTCTTTTATTTTGCTTTTCTAAAGGGTTATCCATGTTGCTTCTTTGCTTCTCAATTTAAAGGTATAATAGAGGACCCGCCCACTGCACATGCACAACCTTGTACCCGCTCAGGAGAGCAAACGCTTATTAAATGCATGCAAGAGCATGCATGAGCCCATTTCTCCTCATGCACACTCTGTTTAAAAGTTGCTGTTTGCATATAAGCTTACTTTCAAAAAGAAGATTTCCAGTTTTCCCACTATGTCAGACTCACCACCTGTAAGTGAAAATGAGGACGAGCACGTAGGACCGCCTTATGTAAACATGATCGACAATTAGGAGGACCACTAATTTTGATGATCCACCCTGTAAGAACATCCTGCACTATACCTTTAAATGTTTTCCTTTCAATAAACTTTCCATTAATATGCTTTGATGCTGCACTCCAAAGAGTCAGGAGTGATCTTTTCTGACTAATAGTTATCTTTCCCATCAAAGATTATCATGAGAAAGAATATAAAGTAACATATTATTAAACAAACACAAAAGAATCCATAATTAGTTACTTTAAAAAAAAAAAAAAATATTTCGACACTTTCCAATTTATTAAGATGCACCAGTATAGTTTGCGCCACCAGGCCGCGCCACTGGGAACGCTTTGACGCTCTCCCACCCAAACTGTTACTGTTGTGACGTCAGCAAGGTGCAAGTAAAGCGAATGAACTAACGGAGGACAGATCGAGCCCTTACCGGAGCTACCGGGAGGCAGCAGAGATACAAAGCGAGTCCAAGCAGCGCGTCCCGGAGAAGCCGAACCAAGAAACGGGTCTGCTGTGCGCCAACCTCAGGAGGAACCAAGCGATGCGAGCGCAGCTCACCGCCGCCCAGTAACAAACTAAAACCAACGAGATCCGAAAAAGGGACGGAGGTTCACCGTCAGGAGACGCAAGGAAGAAGGGACAAGAAGCCAGCTGCGGTGGCTCCACCGTGCTGCTTTCCGCGCTGTGGATCAAACCGAGAGGATCGCTGAGTTAATGCTTTAACGGAGCCTCTGCGCCCGGCTTGAGAGAGGGAGCTGCCCTGAGAGAAGCAAAGGGATCGAAGGCAGAGCGCAGAAAAGGTGGAAATACGTTCCTAAAATTGAAAGGATCTGTGATCAGATTTCTCCAACCTTCTTAAAATCAATCCACTGATCGGGTTACCGTGGAGCCTTGTACCCCTACCGCCATCAAGCTGTGTTCTCTAACCATGGGATGTACCCTGAGCGCAGAGGAGCGGGCGGCTCTGGACCGGAGCAAAGCCATAGAGAAGAACCTGAAGGAGGACGGACTGACTGCGGCCAAAGATGTCAAACTGCTGTTGCTCGGTAAGATCCAGCCGCAAGGCCGAGAAAAGAGGCAGCCTAGCGGGGCCGGGGAAGGTGTGGCGCTGCTGGTCATGATGCGCACTGGAGGAGCTCTCCTAAAAAAAATGTCTAAGATTACAGCAGAGACACGACGCCCCAGTGATATAATAAAATACAATCAATGGCACGACATTAGATAGAAATGGTGTGCATCATTAACTGTATTTTTATGAAATATGGCCCGCATTGTTACATCCCATGGATGTGGATGATCAAATAGGTGTGGCAATTGGTAAAATGTTTTAAAAACCAACAGAGAGGTGAAAACTGCAGATGGGGGAAAAATGGAAGGTTGCAGCAACAGCAGCAGCAGCACTGTTTGCTCACATCATTAATTCTTTTAAGGGAACTCAACCTTTAAGGATTTAATCTGTTTGCCAAACTAAGATGGAGGGTGGATGACTAAAACGAGGAGAAAGGTTTCAGTCACTCTCTCCATCCTTTTTTCTCTGCACCTCCTGCTGCTGGGCTTCATGTTCTTCCTCCGTTCCTCCCACTTCCTCCTCTTCATCCCCTCAGTCTATCACATACATGCATACACTCCTGTTTACACTGATTTCTCCTTTCTTTATCCCTCAGGGGCTGGAGAGTCAGGGAAAAGCACCATCGTCAAACAAATGAAGTAAGTCCTCCATAATCACGGTCCAATAACTCTGTAAAGGTTCCCCTCATCCTTCCTCTCCCTCTTTGTTTCCTCCCTTGGTTTATAATCTACAAATGTAATCTTCATGGCTTTAATGAATCTGCAGCTCCATGTCGAACATCACGTCAAACTCCCGCTCACGCTGCTCTGAGTGGGAAGAGGCCCACAGCTGGGTGTGGATATGCAGAAATGCAGTTGGTTTGATCAATAAATCTTAGAACAGCTCAGCGGGGAAGAGATCAGTTGGTGTAGACTGCAGGGTGTTGTCACTGCTGTGCTAAACCTTCAGAGCTGGTGAGACGATACAACTGCAACAGCTCGGTTTTGTCACTTCAACTGCTGTTTTGTAGAGCTGTGCTGCAACTCTTTCTTCCTTTTCCTGTCTCTTCTTTCATCTGGGTGGATGAATTGCCTTGACCCCTTTTCAACACTTAACCTTTCTCATAATCTGACACAGTTGCTTGCAGCAGTGTTCACACTACATGAATCTTTCTGCATTTTGTCATATTGCAATCACAAACATCAACAGATTTCATTAGGACTTATAGACCAGCACAATGTAATGCATGATTGTAAAGTCAAAAGAACATTTTAGCAATGTGGGTCTATGTATTTTGACCCACTGAGTCAAGGTCTTAGGTTTGGGCTTTGACTAGACTTTTGACTTTACTTCTGTAGCCACAAACACATTTTCTCCACCAGTTGTCAAATATTTAGCTCCGTCCATCTCCACAGCATGATCCTGCCTCTTCCATGTGTCATCATGGAAGAAATGTGCCCCTCTGATTCTTTAACACACATTTTTATTAATGTTGTTTAAGATTCTAGACCAGAAGTCACAGATTAGCGGACCGCAGTCCAGATCCGGACCCACCTGCTGGCTAATCTGGACCCAACCTGATTTAAAACATTTATAAATTACTGCATGTTGTTCCGACGACAGTGTCTCATTTCACCTGCGCCGCTTCTGGTGTTTTTACGGTCAAGCCCTGCGTGACCAGGCTTCACGTGATGCATATTAGCCAATGAGCTGTGTCGGTCAGGGCTGTTGCTGCTAGCTACTTTTAGACACTGCAAGCAAACCGGTGGCAAGCCGGGCAATGGGTAACGATGATGGGAAAACGTGAAAGAAATTGTAGACTGCTGGAAGAAGCGTGGTGAACTGGTGAAAGAAAAGTGAACAGTGTGCTCAAAGATGACCCTGCACATTTTGAGTATGTTTGGCTCAACCTACTGCTGTGAAGCAGGATTCTCCACCATAAACAGAATCAAAAATAAAAAATGGATCCAGGCTCATGAAGGATATGTGCTTGAGAATGACTTTGTCTCCATTCAAACCCAGGTTTAAAGCCTTGCAGGTCAGCCTAAAGCCCACTGCTCTCATTAAGCCATAAAAAAGAAAAGAAAAAACAAACAAAAGGCCATTTCAGGTGTTTTATAAAATATGTGAAGCAGGAAATTGTCTACATACCAAACTGAAAGATTGTTGTTCTCTACTTCAAAAAACACTTTAGATTTTAAAATGGAAAAATGTTCTATTTTTTTTAAATATATTTTTTATTTTAAAAATCAATGTATAACATGGATGCATAAAAGCCTCAGTTTATTTCAGTGTTAGATTCTGTGTAAAGTAACAGATTATAATAAAATGTCCGGGCCTTTACTGACTGTTGATTTTCTTTATTCGGACTCGCTGATTTTGAATTGATTACCCCTGTTCTAGGCTGATTTTTATATATTTTTTAAGGTGGTATTATAATTTTTTCATGTTATATTCCTATTTAAGAACAGATTCTTCCACCTGAACTGTGCATCTTTGTAGCTCATCCAGAGTTTCCATGGGCCTCTTTGCTGCTGCTCTGATTAATACTCTTCTTGCTTTGCCTGTTTATTAAGCTGTAAAAGTTTTGATTGGTCTGTGGTTGTTGCATCCGCTGCAGTCTGTCCTCTAATGCTCTCAAACAAACCCCTGAGACCAGAAGCAAAGGGAGTTGGGTCTAGAGATTTAATCGCACACAGCAGGACTCTTTCCAAATTCTGAAGGCAATTATTTTTACTGGTCTTTATTTAGGGCTATCGGAGTAATCTATCGGGGGGTGAATATGAATACCAAAATCCCACTGTCAAGTTTACAGCCTTAAAAACTAAATTCAAATATGTTGAAGTATGTCGTAACTCCAACAATAATAATGTTTCCAGTATTTTAAAGCATTTTTATTTTTACTTCCTGTGTCACGTGCTGGTGTTAAAAAAAAACAAAAACAAGAGGCTTCAGTACCGTTGATTACGGATGTTTTTGAAGAATATCTCTGACAAAAACCTAAAAGATTTCAGTAAATTAAAGAGAACATGAGGTTCAGAAAAAAAATAGCTGCCCTGGAGAAGTCCTGAATCCACGTCTCCTGTTCTGAGGTCCTGTGACTTCCCTCCACCTCCTCCTCTGTATGCTACTTGCTTGCAGGGCAGAGGAACAGTTTCAAACCAACCACTTCAGAAAACAACATGGTTCCCTGTGCTATTAGTAGCATCCGCCTCCCGTCCTCAAAGGCCAGTGTCCTGTATGTTTTAAACCACACAGCTAATTTAAAAGGCCAAGTTATCTTCTCAGTGTGTTTTCAAATCCTGCAAAGGCCTGGTAATGACCCATTCATTTGGTGCTGATGGGCTGTACCAGGGGAAAGTCTGAAATATTTAGTTTTTAGGTAATGACATGGGGATTTCTCCTCTTATAATGCAGGAAAAAAACTTGAGAAAATCATGGTACCAGTAACCATCTTTTAGATTAATTCACACGAGCCCTTAGATCTGTGTGTTGGATTAATCAGTTTTTAGTTTTGAAAGGTTTCTTTTTTTTTTACTCCAGAGCTCGTTATATTTTCTTAATGATACAATTTACACTAGGTTTGATTTAAATGATGGCTTTTATTTTCCTGGTTTTTGCTACCTTACAAATAGAGTTTAGCATTATCCATTTGTCAGTAAGATGAAGACCAGGAAATGACAGAGAGTGAAATTCCTCTCAAGTTAACAGTTTTATTGATGACAAGCAAAGCTTTAATGCACATTTCTGGAAACATCATAACCTGACAAGCATGCCGTTGGGATTGAAACTGGATTTTTACTGCTGTTATGATCTATATATTGTGCCCCTCTATTGAGTACATTAAATCAAGTCTAGAATTTGCTGTCAAACCCTTAAAAATGCTTTGAGATAAAAAAACAAAAACAAAAAACAACATAAGATGTTAAGTATTTCAAACTAATTTAAAGTATTTGTGTTTAGTGCAAATTCAGTGCTAGCTCAACAAGTCCAATGTTACAGAATAGATAGACGACACATCAGCTGATTTCTTTTTTTTTTTTAAGGCCTGTTAAAGTTGGTTAGATTGTTTTTCAAAATAATCTGTATCAGCATGAGAAAAAAAAAAAACATGATTAGTTGATCTTAATTAAAGATTTTAGAGTTTATGGTGTTTATCTGAAAACATCCTTTTCTACGCTGCCCGTGTACAGCTGTGCAAGTTTGGCGTTTTCTCTGGAGCAAACGGGTAATAAAACCCCACTGCTGTGTGCGTCTATTAGGGAAAATTTTATTCATATGTGCAGTGTAATTAAAGTTATCAGTAAAAATCTAAATACAATCACCTTGGGTCAAGTGGGACAAACTATGCAAAAAAAAAATTTTTTTTTTTCACAGCTTAGATTAGTTCTGATGGAATCTGAAAAAATTGGACTTTTCCTCTCCTCTTCTGTACAAAGGCATCTGAACCTTCACCTGCTCCAGTGTCTTAATTAAAGCTGCCTGATAGTTATAATTATATCTCTTATGGTATCATGATGATGTACTTAATGATAATTCTGCAGGGAGTTACCTGTGCTACTTAGCGCAGATCTTTCTCTGTACTTGGCATGCTTCCATCTCTCAGTGATTTTTATAGTTACAGTATCAGTGCAGTAATCCCATAATAAACGAGCAGGATTTGCAGGAGTTTCTGGTGAAAGCTGGATGCACATACGGCTCCTGCATCGGTGACACGCTGGGCCATCCCCTCCCTTCTCTCTGATCTGTAATCCAGTCGTGACAGACGGTTTTCCTCACCTTTCTCTTTTTCAGACAGCGTAGGGAGTTTAGCCCATAATAGGCTTTGGTTGTGGCCATAAAGTGGCACATCTCTTCAACACATGGCTCCAGATGAGCCTGTCTCTCAGTGGTCATTTCAGCATCACTGGGCGCACTCGATGACCAGTGTTTCCAGCAGATTTGCTAAATCTACACAGAATCCTCAGAATATCCCGAGTGTTTCAATTAACAGTTGCTTTGTTAACCCAGTTAGACAGTGTGGTAAACATAAGGTTTCTTCTTCATGTTTATTGGTTTAAAATTTAAACCAAGTGGAGCTGTTTTATTCTACAGTAGTTCTGTGCAAATTAAGGTTGAATGAAGGTTGTTGGTTTTCATTTTTATGCCACTAAAAGCCATCCGACTTGACTTTCTAGTTGCATCTAACAGGATTATTATTGTTTATTGTGTCTTTTATGTTTGTGGTTAAATAAACTTTGGTTCTGGTTTAGTTCTGAGGGTCAACATTAGGGTTGGTTAAAATACTGAAGGTTCAAACTTAAATCTGATACCAGGAAAGATTCAGATTTCAATAACACTGCTATTTCTTTCTTTCAAAATGGCATTTTCTTCTAAGCAAAATAAGATATAATATTCCTAATATGATAGACTTATCTTCCAATGTGTTAATTAGGTCAAACCATTAAAGATAAACAAGTCTAGAGGATCAAAACAGGCAGAAAAGCATATAAAGCAAATAAATTATTGCAAGATTTCTTGAAGGTAAAAAAATAAATAAATATGAAGGTCAAATTATAAAACATAGTGAATGAATTAAGCGAAATAAAATTACATGAAGTTATTTATATATTTTTTAAACTAACTAGTAAATTGAAAGCTTTGCGACGAGAGCTCTAGG